CTTCCTCTAAGGACTCCAAAAAGGGTGGGTACTGTGCACTGCTGTTAGGCGCATAAGCACCAACAACAGTCAGCACCCGTCCCCCCACCCGAAGGAAAAAAGGAGGCTACCCTCTCGTTCACCAGGATGAACCCCAACGTGCAGGCACCAAGTTGGGGGGCAACAAGTATGCCCACTCCTGCTTGGCGCCTCTCACAACTCCAGAATAGAAGGGCATTCAACCCCTCTCAAGAAGGCTAGGTCCAGAACCAGAGCTGTGCATCAAAGCGATATGTCCAGCTAGAATCTCTCCATCTCACACACCAACTCAGGCTCCTTCTCCACAAGAGAGGTGGCATTCCACATCCCTAGAGTCATCTTCTGTAGCCGGGGATTGGTTTGCCAAAGTCCCCCTCTCCGGCCGCCAGCCGTTCCACACTGCACCCGACCCCTTTGACCCCTCCTATGGGTGGTGAGCCCAATGGAAGGGTGACCCATGTGGCCATTTCGGGCTGAGCCTGGCCGGGCTCCATGGGCTCCACGCCCAGCCACCAGGCGCTCGCCAACCTACCCCACCTCTGGGCCTGACTCCAGAGTGGGTCCACGGTGACCCGCGTCTGGGGGTGGGTACAATTTGCACATTAAACGAATTCATCATAAGGGGTGTTCGGGCTGCACTTCGTCTGATCCCTGTCCTAGGGCCTGTTTGCCTTGGGTGACCCCACAAGGGGCTTAAAGCCGCGGACAACATAGCTCCTAGGATTATTGGGACCCTCAAACCCCTCTACCACGATAAGGTGGTTCGTAAAATTCGTAAAATGATATACTATTTATTTCAGTTTTTTTTTAAAGCTATATTGTAAATTTGACTGTAGTGCATTGGTTCAAGAATTACAATTTCTTATGTTTATAATACAGTAACATGTCAATTTGACAATCAAATATTAATGTTCAGATACACTGACTGCAAAATGAACAATTATTCATTGTTTTGTTTTTTACAATATATTCCTTTTAAATATAGACTGATTCAATGTTTTTCTTGTTACAGACTTTTAATGTCATGATTTTAAGACATATTAATGTTGATTTCACAGATTGTTTTTACAGTGTACATATATAATTAGAGTGTAGACTGAAAGCATTCCACAAGTCTTAAACTGAGCAAAAAAGTTAAAAAATATATTTTTAATGTGTGAAATTGCCCACCATATTATTGGTTTAATTTCTACAGAATTCTGAAATTCAACATTCAATTATCCTTCCAGTTTTTTTTATATTGTCTGTATCATTCATTATCCCTTACTTTTCTTCCATATGCTTCATTAAATCTGCTACACATTCTGTCATCTCTCTACCCTGCCTGGTTCCAATCTCACTTCACATCATTTCTTTGTTACATTGATATCTTGTCTTTCCAGCTCTCATTTGAAGATTTTGGGTTGGGTGACACATTGGTTAGAGTCTTTCAACACCAAAGGACTGGAGGAAACAACTCCCACAGTAAAGTTTGAATGGACAGACAGGCAGCATGAAGTGTTCTGCAGAAAATAAGATGCCCCGCCTTTAGTAAACTAGAGCAGGACAGTTAGTATGGGTGCCCCAAGAGATGAAGTGGTATCTTTGATGTGTGTTGTTTCCTTTCTCCACCTCTCTCACTTTTTTTTCTATGTTCTGTGGTTATTTCAAATCATCCCTAAACTGTGATTGTTTATTTCATTCATTATTTTTGTCTGCAGACCCTGGAAAGTGGAGTGTTAAGGGAATACAAAACCTTTTGCTCAGCTTTTATTAGCACAGCAAGTTTGCAATGCTCTCCTAAACCTCATCTTGGCCGTTTGGGCTTTTTTGAGTCAACATTTAATTGTGCTGAATTGATATCCTGAACCATTATGTGTGCTGTGCCAATGTTTGTGGGTCGTTTTTTTTACTGGTGTTTCTTAAAGACAATCATTCAGATTCTTACACTTTATGCAAAACTTATCCAGTTATGATAAGCTTTGAGATTGTAAACCACATGTTTTTTCTTGGGTTATTTCTATAATTAAACAACTTATTCTTACTTCACGTCCTACATACACAAATGTACACGGGAAAGGTACAAAAGACAGAGTTTCTTTGTCACTTTCACTGCCAACTCTATAACTGTAATGACAAGTTTCATCAAGTTAATCATCAAGGTTTTCTGGGCAAGTCCCACTGGGAGGAGGCCATGGGAAAGACCCAAGACATGTGGAGGGATTATGTCTCCTGGGTGGCTAGGGAAGCCTCCGATGGAGCTGGCAGAAGTGGCAGGGGAGGAGGAAGTCTGGGTTTCCCTGCCCGGGCTGCTGCCCCCCCCCCCCCCTTACCCTGGATAAGTGGTGGTCGATGGATGGATCAAGTTAATCTTTCTTTCCTATTTAGGTAGTGCTCTAACATCGTCATCACAACGCATCTTAAGAAGCCTCCTTATAGGCATTTAAGCACCTTTAAACAAAAACAACTTTTAACTGATTCTGACATTACATCTTAAAACATATAAAGAATGTACAGAAGATGTAAGAGCTGAGCTTCTTTTCTTTATACTATACTTTGTTTTTGGATATACAAAAATTCTATCTAAATAATTGCAGTCATATTATTTTCAATTGCATCACAGCAGTGTTGCATTGGATAGTCCCCATCAATGACTCTCAGCACCATCTCAGAAGATCAACATGCTTCATGGGAATGACGCAGCTGTGCAGAATGATCATCAATAGGCCAGATGTTGTATCTTACACCTTTGCAACAGGGAAACTTAACCACATTGATTAGAAGTCCCATCTGCCATGCTAGCATGGTGTTAATAAGCAAACTGTTGAGTGTTCCTCATTAGAGAGAGAGTTTACCAAAGGTAGAGTGTTTCAAAACTATCTCTGGTTAATTCAGATGAGTTGAGAGGAAGAAAGAAAGCTGATGAGAGGTGCAACTGTTGAAGCGCAAAATGTAAACTACAGAAATGGGAACAGAGAGACAAACTGACATGCTTCGGTTGGATGACAGAGTCAATTAATATACACAGTAAAGCAGGTGAAATGGTCAGGCATGGTGAATTGCCCAAGCAAAGCACTTTTTCAGAAGAGGTTAAATAGGTGAAACACTAAAGCATGTTAATAAGCATTTTGTACAGAGTTACCATTCATCTTTTTTTTTACACCTCAGAAACTAATATTATATCAGTTTTTTTTCCCACACTAAAACATAATGCAAGGCAGATTTATTTGCATTAGAATGCAAGCAGTTAAAAAGAGATTTCTCTGGCCTGGTACAGTATATACTTTGAGGTGGAGAGGAGTTCTTGTCCCTGAGAGATATTCAGACTTGTTTGTTCCTGTGCCTTGAAAGAGACAGCTAATGTGAAGAATACCTGGAAGTATTGACAATATTTCATGCTTGTAAGATCATTACATAGCAGATTCACAACCAATCAATCGATCCACTCTCTTCCTTACAAAAAATGCAATTTTCTTTTCTCTAGAAAAGAAGAAAATTTGGAAAGATTATACACGCAGTCATTTAGTAAACAATGGTTTCCAAACATTGATACAGGCTTGCGTGGTTTAAAACTCCTTTTCAATGTCACTTTGTGTCTGGTTAACTAATTTAAACAGATCATCCTTGTGCCAGGTCAGAGGTTATCATCGAACCAGTTTTGTCTGTGCTTATTGTCAGTAGCCTGATTATGCTCTTTTCTGTACACGAGCCAAGTCAAAACAGACTTAGCTGTGGTATAGTGTTATTTGTTATAAACTTTGTTTGTGTTATATATGCCACATATGGACAACCAAAAAGCTTACTGCTCCACACTTATGTAGCACCTTTTTAAACTAGTCTTTATTTGTTCACCCCACATCTTTTTCACACTCAACCCTTTATCTATCTATATTCCATCCCACATGTGTTTTGTTTACTTATATGTGAAATTGATGCAAAAAAACATCTAAAAATGTGTCCCCTTCTTATCTTTTTACAACATTCAACTTTGGGGTCTGAATTTTTAGGGCATTTTCAATGCTTTCGTTTCTGTCAGTAACTGGAAGGTAATTTTTTCCTGAAATGTTGACCTTTGTGTTGTTTTTTTAATGTTTACCTCTCTCTGGAAGTGGCATGAACAGACTGAGATCAAAAGAACTACAATTCCAAATTTTAAAAGGAAGTAGGGACAATGATAGGTTTGATGAATGCAAAGATTAATCCTGCTTTGGTTCTCAATTACCATATTCTAAAATCCCAAATGAATGTGTTTCACTGTCGTCAGAGAAGGATAAGAGTGAATATGTACTGGTAGAATGGTATTCATTCATCAGAAAGGGCTCCACTCGCTTTTTTACTAAGATTTCAGTGTCTTTTGGAATGATCAAAGTGGTGTTAATTCTGAGTGTAACATGAGTGTTAGAGCCATATAGATATTGTGTTTTATTATCTGCTGATTAGAATAATTTAATTGTGAAGAATGTAGAATGTTTAGTTTACTGATAGGCATTTGGGTTTATTTTGTATTGTTTTTCTGCATTTGATATTTGATAGATCATTTTCATGAGGTTCCTTTGATGTCCTGTTTAAGTAGCGAAAGGTGCGCAGTTTTGTCGGTTACAGTGCGCATGCGCAGAGTACGAGAGAAAAGGTAATAGAGCAGGGCGAGGAGCAACAGTTTTTTTACCATAAGGTTCACGTTTTGATTTTTTACTTACCGTAAGGTTGACTTTTTGCTTTATTCTTATCGTGAAGTTTATTATTTTATTTATGTTGGCAAGTTTTTGTAAGTTCACGTTCGCAATAAACAAGTCATTTTTTTAATCGGATCGTGTAAGTTTTTAATCAACGTCTACGAGTCAAATCCTTCACGTCCTGCAAGAGTGGCAAGGAAAAGGTTTTTAGCCACTAAAATGACATTTAAATCTTAATTTAAGTCTTTTAATTAAAAAAAAAAAATTTAAAAGGTCATTCTTAATGATGCTCCACGTAATCATTTGTGCCCTCCCCTTTCTTTGTCTCAGATATGTGACAAGGAGTGGCATTACTACGTCATTAACGTGGAATTCCCAGTGGTGACACTCTACGTAGACGGAGTTACATACGATCCTTACTTGGTGACAGACGACTGGCCCATCCATCCATCACAGATTGATGTACAGCTCACAGTTGGTGCCTGCTGGCAAGGTAAGAGTAAACAACTGAGGATGGTGAAGTTGTTAATGATGACGATGAGGTATTACACAGTCAATAATTGTCTAATTTCATCTCCTCTATGGGCATACGCAAAAGAAAAGTAACTTATATTATAGTATGATAGTAGTATAGTATAATATATTCGTTGAATAACACCGCATTCATGAACAATATAAGCATAACGTTGCAGATCTATTATAACTAAAGATGTCCCTGAGTCCCCAAGTGTAACATGTTCTGTGGCTTTGAATGAAACAAGAATTCAAGACGAGGGTCTAGTCTGTCTTTGACAAATGACTGAGCCACTCCAAATATAGACGTTGTCACGTCTGGTGTCTCGTCTCGTCTTGATTACCTATTGTGTACACCTGGGATTCCCTTCCCTCATGTGTTTAAATAGTCCTGTTTCCCCTTGTCTGGCGCGAGTGCGTTTTCGTCTCTTGTCCGTCTTGTCCTTCTTGTCCGTCTAGTCTCTCGTCACCCCCACGCCAGGTTTGTTTTGCCATAGTCTTTTGTTTTTGTCATAGTCACAGTTTTGCCACAGTTTTGTCATTCTTTACTTTGTTACTTTGTCACAGTCATAGTTTTGCCACAGTCTTGTTTGCTATTGCTTTGATACTTTTATCACAGTTTTCCACAGCTTTGATTTGTACTTTGTCTGGACATTCACTCTGTTTTTGTACAATAAACCTTGTTTCCCTCATCTCCGCACCTGAGTCCTCCGTCAACACCCACCTTCCTGACAGAACGCACTCGCCATTCTGGACTAAGCGGAGACACCCAGGAGGAGCGGCGGCGACGGTGGCGGCCCCCCCCCCTCTGCTCTGAGAGAGCCCATGGGGGGGCTTAGCCACCACGCCCAGGAGGCAGCCGAGGCCGGCTCACCGTTCCGTCCTCCTGCCCGTGAGCGAGCCCCGAGCTCGCTCACGCCCCGCAACACCCTCCACGCCCTGACCGGGAC